CTGCTGGTCCCGCGATTCCCGGCATTCCCGGCTCCGGCGCCTCCCTTGGGGGAGAAGGTGCCACCGGAGGCGTGAGGAGCATCCTCGGGAAGCGGGGCCGGAGCTCGGGAAGCAGGGCCCGTGCGGCCTCGCGCAGTCGAGGACCCGGCACCGAGGCCGACGTTTGGCCTCCGGAATCGGCTCCGCTGCCCTCGGAGCCACGAGGGAGCCTGGCCCTTTGCACAGAGCACAAGCACTGGATTTGCTTCTATTTTGCTGTTTTTTGCCGTTTTTCCCCCCTTTGCTTTTCTAAACTTGGTTCAGAGCCCGGGCCGCGTTGCCCAGGTTTGTAAGCTGAGATCGCGGCTTTCCAGGATGATTCCTCAAAGGAGCTGGCTCGAGCAAAGGCGGTCGATGCAAATTGATAAGAGCTTTTTCATTTGAGCGCCGGGGCTTGTAGAGCAACCCGGGCGCTCGATTCCAGGCCAGCCCGGAACAGCAGAGGGAATTCGCTCCCGCTGTTTGCTCGTGCGGAGCTTTAGGGCAGAGAAATTCCTGGCTGTGAAGGAAAACACCCCGGGGCTGAGGCTGGGTGGCAGCACCACGAGGCTCCGGGTTTGTTCCAGGCTTGGTTTTGGGGGCAAAGGGACCTGTCACCCCTTTTTGGGCTCTTATCGGGCCCTGTCCGGGCTGGGAAGCTCCGTGTGCCGGTCGGGTGTCCTCGCGTCCCCCTGCCCCGTGTTCCCTGCTCGCCCGGGAGCTTCGGCTGCTCCAGGGAATCCGGCTCTCTCGGGGACGTGCAGCAGGGCACGCAGCGTTTGGGGGGTGAATAAATGCCAAAACCTGCCAAATTGGGTTAAAACACCCAAAGGGTTTTTCTTGTGAAGAAATTGGAGCTGCGCCCGAAGTCATTCAACGTAACTTGATAACTAATAACCCGAGAAATCCCTGCTGGGACAAGGGGTGAACGGAGCTGGGAAGGAAGCGCGGGGCACAGGGCCGCGGCCGCCGCCGCTTCCCGCGCGGAACCGAGTTGCAAAACGCGCTCCTGCCAAAGCAGAACTTGCAGGACGTTAGCGTGGGAAGCGAGCGGGGGGTTGGCCGGGGTGCTGCTTTTCCGGGGTGTTTTTTATTCCTCCTCGGCTTGTGCAATCCCGCAGGAGAGCCCGTGCGGGGCCTCTCCGCGCGGCGCCCGGCTTCGCTTTGCAGTCCCGCTCACGGATTCTCCGCTTCCCCTTTTACAGGAACGGGGTGAACGTGGAAGGGGCGACCCACAAGCAAGTGGTGGACCTGATCCGCGCGGGAGAGAAGGAGCTGATCCTCACCGTGCTGTCGGTGCCGCCCCACGAGGCCGACAACCTCGACCCGAGCGATGACTCTTTGGGGCAGTCGTTCTACGACTACACGGAAAAACAGGCCGTGCCCATCTCCATCCCCACGTACAAGCACGTGGAGCAGAACGGCGAGAAGTTCGTGGTTAGTATCGGCGCGACGCCGGCGCCGCGGGAGAGCGCCCGGAACGCACGCGGTAGGAGGTTGATTCTGGCTTGTTAGGGAAGGCCGCCTGTGGGAAGGGGATTTTTTTTGCTGCATTCCCAGCATTTCCCTTCCCGGAGGGTTATGTCAGGCTGGGGAGACCCAGCCGTGCTCCGTACGGGAATTCTCGTTGCGCTCCTGTGATCTCCGAGGAATCTCATCACTTCGTATTGCAGAGAACCGCTTCATTTTGTTTTTCCTCTTAGGTAGGTGAAGTTTGAGCTAATTATGGATTATATTAACTGCCAAATCAGATATTACCATGAGGGCTCGGCCTCTCCGCTGCCGTTATCGGACGAGGTTTAACGCTGGAATCCAGTTTTCTTGGTGGTGCTGCTGCTTGGAGCACAATATCTGCTCCAGAGGGAGACGCTGGTCCCGGGCCCTGCGCTCGGCCTCGGGGCGTCCCGGCTGTTGGAAAAGCAGCCGTAGGGAACGGCCCCATCCCGGCGGATCGCTGCAGCGCGGGGGCAGCTCAATGCCCGGCTCCCGCTCCGGAGGCGCCGCGGGAAGAGCTTCGGCTCTCCCTTTCCTGCTGCAATGCGTTTGCTGCTTGTTTGGGATGCCCTGAGGCCAACCTCCTCCTTCCCCTCCTCCTCCTCCTCCCTGCTGGGTGGCAGCGAGTGGGACAGGAGAGGAATCCAGCCCGGAACGGGTGTCTGACC